TGGAAATCAAAAGATTCTTTGAACTAAATGACAAAGGTGACACAAGTTATCAAAATCTGTGGGACACAGCCAAAGCAGTCCTGAGAGAAAAGTTTATTTCCATAAATGCCTATATCCAAAAGTCAAAAAGATCATAAATAGACAACCTAATGAATCAACTCAAAGATCTGGAAAAAGAAGAACAGACTGACCCCAAACCCAGCAGAACAAGGGAAATTAATAAAATCAAATCAGAACTAAATGAAATTGACAACAGGAAACTATGCAGAAGATTAATAAAGCAGAAAGTTGGTTCTTTGAAAAAATAAACAAAATTGACACGCCTTTGGCTAAACTAACGAAAAACAGAAAAGAAAAATCCCTGATAAACTCCACCAGGAAGAAAAAGGAGAAGTTACAACTGAGGTCGTGGAGATTCAAAGTATAATTTATGAATATTACAATAAGCTTTATGCATACAAACTGGAAAATGTGGAGGAAATGGACAAATTTCTAGAAACACACATCTTCCCTAGGCTCAACCAGGAAGAAATAGAATTCCTGAACAGACCCCTATCAATGACTGAAATTGAAACAGCAATAAAAAACATTCGAAAAAAGAAAAGTCCTGGACCAGATGGTTTCACACCCGAATTTTACAACACCTACAAAGAAGAACTGGTGCCTATCCTGCAGAAATTATTCCACAACATCAAGAAGGATGGATTCCTCCACAACACATTTTATGAAGCCAACATAACTGATACCCAAACCAGGAAAGCATGCAACAAAAAAGGAAAACAGACCAATATCCCTTATGAATATAGATGCAAAAATTCTCAATAAAATTCTAGCTAACTGAATCCAGGTGCTTATTAAGAAAATAATCCATCATGACCAAGTGGGATTCATTCCAGATATGCAGGGATGGTTCGACATACGCAAATCTATAAACGTAATTCACCACATAAACAGAAGCAAAAACAAAAACCATGTGATTCTCTCAACAGATGCAGAAAAAGCATTTGACAAAATTCAACACCCTTTTATGATAAGAATGCTTAACAAAATAGGCATAGATTGGGCTTACCTAAAAATGATACAAGCCATTTATGACAAAGCCACAGCCAACATCACACTTAATGAAAAAAATTGAAAGCATTCCCACTTAGACCTGGAAACAGACAAGGTTGCCGACTATCTCCACTTCTATTCAACATAGTGCTGGAAGTCCTGGCCACAGAAATCAGGCAAGAGAGTGGGATTAATGGCATACGAACGGGAACAGAAGAGATCAAACTCTCACTATTTGCTGATGACATGATACTCTATCTAGAAAGCCCCATGGATTCAACCAAGAGGCTCCTGGAATTGATAAATGAATTCAGTAAAGTCTCAGGACATAAAATCAATACACACAAATCAGAGGCTTTCATATA